TTTCCTGAAGATAGAAGAGTTTGTTGAATCTGACGTGACATGTTCGTACGAACCCTTTGTACGAACAAAAGTAAGAGAAATTTAGGAGAAGAATACGAACATGTTCTTGCATGAGGCCCATTGTTTCTTTGAAAGCATGTAAATCCAATGCCAGGCTTTTAAAATAAGGTCTTTGGAAAAGGGCAGACTTCCCAAATAAACTCGGGAAAATTAGTTTAAACCTTGAATATAAAATTTTGTGCAACTTGACTCAATATAGCTAGGTTCTTGTACAATTTGTTAGCATTTAGACACCGAATTGTGTAGGACTCTTGTCTACTACCACATCAAATTAACTCATTATCTGTAATGTTTACTGAACTATGACCATTGATATGTTTTTATACAGTCAGTTGGCTGTGGTGGCCATCTTGCTTGTTTCCTTTTCTGTTTTCTTTTGCTTATCCGGGGTCGGGTCACGGGGGCAGCAGCCTAAGCAGAGAGTAACCTCTGGGATCAATAAAGTATTTTTGAATTGAATTGAATTTGAATTGAGAGCCAGACTTCCCTCACCCCAGTCACTTGGGCCAGCTCCTCTGGAACATAGACCCTACAGTGTGTCCTTGGTCTTCCTCTGGGCCTCCTCCCAGTGGGACGTGCCCAGAACACCTCACCAGGGAGGCGTCCAGGAGGCATCCAAACCAAATGAACCACCTCAACTGGCATCTTGAATTTGATTGGCTTCAAAAGTTCACTGGTTCTGACCAAACTGCTAATGAATACTTTCTGGAAGTTTCAGTGAAATATATCCAGTTGTTAACGAGATACTTTGCTAAAGACCCTGTCACACTAACGTTTTAGACAGCTTATGATTGTTTTTTGTCGGAATTACTAATACAAGTTCATATTTAGTTCATTTAGTTCATATTTGATCACTTTGTTAGGATTACAGTATGTACAAGACTAAAAGAGGCTTCCAGTTGATATTTTTTTTAATTCAACGTAGATATCTTTAAATTTTTCATAGGTTAGCATAAGTTGTCTAAATCGTTTTAGTGTGACAGGTCCTTTACTGAGCTGACTTCAACATTTAATGAAAAGAATTAAAGGGATCCATGATTAGTTGCAACATTAGACTTTATTTGATAAACATTTATTTTAACTGTAAAATAAAGACTGAAACAATACTGTAGGCTGTTTTAGTTTTTATCATTTTTAAACTAAAAATTTAAAAATATATTTTAACACGGACGGGGCTGTTTTACTTRCATGCAAAGCATTCTGGGTAAATGATGATGTTGGTAGGTCCTCGGTGCGAGGCTGCTAGCGAGCTATATCCACCCTGAAGGTTAATCTTGGACAATATCTGATGATCGACTCTTTTAAATGAAACCAGAGAGCGTTGACAGAGAGGAGAAGGTAGAAATGGCTCAGCCTGTAACTGAAAATATGGATGGAGGACCGCAGTTTAGCTTGTTTGTCGCGCTAGCACTGAGCTAATACATATAAGGCAATATAGCGTCAGTGCTTGCACAAAGGCTAACAGGCTAAGCTGAGGTTGTTCTTCCATGAAGCAGCTCTGTTGTCCTCCATCTATATTTTCAGTTCCAGGCTGAGTCATTTCTACCTTCTCCTCTCTGTCAACGCTCTCTGGTTTCATTTAAAAGAGTCGATCATCAGATATTGTCCAAGATTAACCTTCAGGGTTTATAGCTCGCTTGCACCGAGGACCTATCCACATCATCATTCACCCAGAATGCTTTGTGTGTAAATAGATCCGTCTGTGTCTAATTTTATTTTTAAATATTATAAAAACTAAACAGCCTACAGTATTTTTACAGTCTTTATTTTACAGTTAAAATATGTTTATCAAATAAAGTCTAATGTTACAACTAATCATGGATCCCTTTAAAGCAAAGCTCTTGTGTGGTCTGTCAGCCCTCAGAGTATGCGTTGAAGACTCTCAGCTACTACCACAACATGTTTTAGCTCAGTCTATGTAAAATTGACAGTTGTGTTTGTGAAGGTTGTTTTGCTGCGGCAGCCATCTTTTATAGGGTGGATTTCAAATCTTAATCAGATGACTGTGTTCATTCAGTGATCATTGAGATCCAACCAGGGATGAAAGAGACACACACACAAACAGACATGGCCAGAAACAGTGTTATCCATCTAAAAACAATGTAAAGCTGTTACTGTGAGATGTTTTCAACTCGTCCTTGTTAAATCATGTCATGATCAGCACCACATATTGTACTGACGCTTCTTCCAGTGAAGCCCTCCATGCCTGAGACCACAGCTCTGGGTGCAGCGATGGCAGCGGGAGCAGCAGAGGGGGTGAGCGTGTGGAGCCTGAACCCCGAGGACCTGAGTGACGTCACGTCGGAGAAGTTCGAGCCTCAGATCAACCCTGAAGGTGCAACAAGCCACCGCCGCCGCCCTCAAACAACGCGTATGTCCCACATTTTAACTTTGATCTCTAATCTTTGCATCTGACTGTGCAGAGAGCGAGTTTCGGTACGCACGGTGGAAAAAAGCGGTGGAGAAATCTATGAACTGGGAGACGACGCAGCCTGTTCCTAATGGAAAAGGTAAGCACTTACAGCTAAACACAAATCAACCAAAGCTTCATCAGAACCGACAACAACCCATGAATGTTTCTGGTGTTCGGAGCTGGAGTTGACATCACCAGCATTTTTGTTTTACACGTACCAGTTTTACCTGCGTCTGCACGGCGTGTTTCCATTAATGAGTCATTCTGCAGCAGGAAATGAGCAGAAATTCAAACAAGTCTGTTTAATAAAGACTACAGCGGTTAGAAAAGGTTAAAGAATGAAAGACAAACATTTCCTTGTATAGATAAAAGGAAGTATTGCAGATAAAAGAACGTGATAGTTGCTCTTTATCCCCTGAAAAGAAAAGCTGTTTCACTGCTTGAATGTTCTAGTATTAACGTCTAACGTTATGTCAGATTAATTCAAATCTGGAAGATTCATTCAAAATTCTAAAAAACATCTCCGTCTTCTATGGCTAAATTGGGTCCAAACAGGTGCAAGGAGAGAAGAGAAACCCAGACACTCGCCCCAGCGACACTAGCTGCGTTTCCATTGCAAATGTGCGCAAAACTTTGTTGATATTTTGTTAATGTCGAAAAAACATAGTTTCGCAATTGCGGTGTTTCCATTAAGTAAGAAATGCTATTAAAGTCACGTGTGAATACGTTTGTTCTCATGATAAGTCATTACAAACATGGCTGCAATGGATGTAAACACACAGCATGTTGCTACCACGACACTAGCACTCATCAGAGGAGACGTCTACGTCTTTTCAAGGCTTTTGAGCAAAGAACCCCTCATACCTGGGAGCAGCTACGTATGCAGCCTTTTTGGGAAATTGTAGTCAGTGATTTTACTACTATTTCTACTTCCTGTTATCTTCTTCTTCTTCTTCTTCGTCTTTTTTGCCAGTAGAAACAGCCGGTTGTTGATCATGTGACTCCCATTATACGAAAAAATATTTCCATTGCAGTTTTGTGAAATGCATCAATTTCGATACGGCCGAAAAACCACCTCATCCTAGCACAAAACCATTTTTTCGAAAAATTACGTTTTTTCGAAATTGACATGTTTTCATTGAGCAAATTTACTTTCAAAATTCTAATTTGCGCATTTTCATGGTCAACGGAAACGCAGCTAATAGTGCTTTTTTAACCAGACAAACAGATACTTTGTTTTCTAACATCCCTGCTGTTTATTTCACAGCTGAGTCTTTTTTGAACAATCAAATTAATAAAAGTAGAGTGAAGCAAATTACAGGTTTCAATAAAATAAACTATAACCTCTTTTATAATAAAAAAAACAACAAACCACCTTAATAATGTCATTATTTTAAGTGACAATATTCAGCAATAAATAATTTTATAAGTTTTTATCAATAAATAAAAAAAAATGCAATTTGCAAAATGGGTTTCAAAACATGAACATTTTCCTGAGAATAAAAAAATAAAGATTTGTTTAACAAAAAGTACACTTTTAATCCTCACTTCTTTGTATTTATTTTATGCCTGCACAGTCGATCCTTTGTTTTATTTCATTTTTTATTCAGTTAATTAAAAAATGTCATTGTGCTTCCTCTAGGGTACACACCCCCTCTTTTTATGGTGTATTCACACCAGGAAAATTCTTGTTTGGTCTGGACCAAAAGTGGATTTTTTAAATTCACATTGTATTTTTTTGCAAGCAAACTATAATTTATGAACAAAGCCACCCAGGTGATGGTCATTGCTGCTATTGGACAGAAATGATGGGGGCGGGACAGAGCACAGACCCAGAATTTTGTTTATTTATTCACCATTCTTTAACCAGGTAAGTCCCGTTGAGATCTCAGATCTCTTTTTCAAGGGCGGCCTTGGCCTGAAAACAACCTGTTGTACATGTTTTAAGGGGTGGGGGAAACCGGAGTGCCCGGAGAAAACCCACCCAAGCACGAGAAGAACATGCAAACTCCACACAGAAAGACCCCAGGTCTGAACCGGGGATCAAACCCAGAACCTTCTTGCTGTGAGGCGTCGGTGCTAACCACTGAGCCGACGTGCTGCGATCAGATGGTATTGATTCTTTATTATTGAAACAACGACAGCTATCTAATACTTGAAGCTAACAGAGGCCAAACAACTCGTAAAGTTACTGTTGAGTTAAGAAGAAAAATACAAACTCCATGTCACAGTTCACGTGTCCATCAGCAAATATGCTTCACCAAAAACTGTCTACAGAGAGCAGTGGTGCATACTTGTGACATTCAGCTGTCCCAAAGAGACGCCACACAGTTATGACCGTTACACACTGGAGGATTTTATTGGATGAACCTCTGGAACTAACCCAATTCAAGATGGCCACCAAATGACACAAAAATTACTGTAATTCAGTCCATTTTACAGAAGTTGAGCTAAAATTTGATGCAGTAACGGCTTGATTTATTTTGTGTACTTCTACAGTGTTAAACTTTATGTCTGTTGAGAGTTTTACTTTTGTTCCTTTTATTGTCATTTTTTATCGTACAGCATGTCGGTGCGGCCCTGTTGTTTGAAATGGTTGTAGCTGAGAGTCATTTGTAACGCATACTCCAAGTGCAACTTATATTGAGTCAGTCATGCTTGCCTGTTAGCAAAATATCTCATGAACCGTTACGCAGATTTAGTGAAACTCCCATGTTTTAAAACGGAAGAAGCCAGATTAGTATTTTTTTCGTTAATAACGACCTTTTCTCTGCATCACGGTGCATTTCTTGTTACAAACTTGATCTGTCATAGTTTCTCTGCGTTATTGTTGCCCAACAGGTGAAACGAGCATTTTCTGCAGCGTTCCCCTGGGGTTTTACATCATGGGCAGCATGGTGATGTTAATCGCTGCAAAATACATCACAGGTCAGTATTTTTATTTATTTATTTATTTATTTATTTATTTAGTCCTTCCTTTCATATCTGCACTGTAACAGTTAATCGGTGTCATCTGGGGATTTAGGTTTCAGTGTTTTTTTATATTTTGAAAGAAGAAGTTGAACCCACAAGTTTAGATACAATAAAAGACTCAAATTTCAAGATAAAAATCCACTCTTTGTATTTATTTATGAGAGCGTTTAATGGGTCACCAGTAGTTTCTCAGGACACCAAGTTTGCAGTTTTTTTTGCAGTAATAAGAATGATGTCATAACGCGCTGGGTGTTGGTTTTAAACTGTAACGTGATCTCTTTCCTAAAACATGGAACCTGTTTTTGTTTTCCGTCAGGTAACCACTAGCCTCAGACACCTGGAGGTTGTAAAGCAAAGTGGAAAGTGCGGGGTGGGGTGTGTGTGCTCACCCTGCCGGACCACCACTCGTGTTCTTGTTGCACTTCTCCCTACGAAAACCATTCCAGAAGAATGAAGAAACAAGCCTTTAGCGCACTAAACGGGACATTTGTTAAAAAAAATAGTTGTTTGTTTATCTGTAGATTATGTTGGCATGCCAGAATAATTTTAGCAGGATTGTAAATGCACTGATTCCCATGTTCTTTTACAGAGTAGACATGAATTTGGAGTTTATTTAAAGAAGCTATACTGTCTGGTTTTATTTGCATTACGTGTCACTTCACTGTTCATCCTGACCGGTTGGTTCTTCAACAGTCATCCTAAACGCTTGTCTGTTCAAGACCTGCCAATGTGAGCTAGAGACGTTTTTTAGAGCACTTTGTTTTTGTTTTCGTCTCATGGGTGCGATGCGCCAACAGTCTGTGACGGCGAGGCAGCCTGTCCTGACATGAAAACAAGGGAAGGAAGGAATCTGAGGAGCAGAAGGGTTGGGTTTTTTTTTTATTATGAAAACGACGCTTCAACTGCTTGAAGTTTTGGCCAAAAAAAAAAAAAAGAGATGGTTGTAAATTTTTATATAAGAAACGCAATTTGATCTTTAAAATGATTCAAATCTAACCTCAAATCTTCAAAACTAGACAAGAACTATCATTGTTTTTAAGCAGAAATGAAGCCAAAATGCAAATGTGCCCTGTCTAAAATAAACAGTAACAGTGAAGCACGGTGGTGGAAGGCTCATGATTTGGGCTCGTTCTGCCACCACAGGACTTCAGTTCAACTTCAGCTCCTCTCTACACAAAAGTATTTTAGAGTGAAATTTGAGGCTGTTTGTTCGACAGCTTTATTTTTCACACATTTATTGCATTTTTGCTTCTTTTCTGTTTAATAAATAAGGACTTCTCTCATCTATTTTTGCCCACTTGAGTTTTAGAAACTGATTTGTGTTATCTCCTGATACAGAGAAGCTGAATTAATGTTTTATTTCAAGGACTTTCTTGGCTCAGATTCTAAAAACACCTGAGTTTCATAATTGCCCCTCTGGTTACAGGCTGACCTGACGATTAACAGAAGCTGCAAGTTTATCTCATTATAGCTTTTATTTTATTTTATTTTTTGTCTTGAAAAGCTGAAAAAACTATTTGCAGCAAAGAAGCTGTGACATTCTAAAACAAATTAATCTGCCAAATTGTTTCAGTCAGCACCGAGGTTGGTAAATATTTCTGGAATTATTGGAACGTTTAATCGTTTTCTGTGCTGTTTGTTTTTATTTTGAGGAGTTAAACGAGTTGTGTCAGTATTTCTTGCATTCACTGTAGGAAATCGAAACAAAAAGAAAGCCAGTGTTTATCTTCAGGTTTTAACAAACGGAACAAAGTTTTTTTATTTTATTTTTTTAATTGCATAAAATGGTTTAGCGATTGCTTTGTAAATTTGTGCAGTAACTTATTAAACTGTAAAGTACATTACAGTGCGTTAAACAACTGCCTGTTTGGTTGGGAGGCATGTCGAGACGTGAAACTGTAAAACAAAATTTTTTTCCTTTTTTTTTTTTAACTCTACATCTTTTTCCATGATGGTATAATGCGTTTGTGACAATGAAGTTGTGCAACTTTGTTGAGGATTTTGTTGCATTAAAGATAAATTAAACCCTGAATCTTGTTTTCCAGGTGCTCTGGTGTTAAAAGTGTTACCATTTACTAGTTAACTGGTGGCCTGCGGGCCACATCCAGCCTATGGGTGACTCAAATCTGACCCAGCCAAAAAATGTTGTTAGTTTTAAATTTATTTAATATGATAATTTTACATTTAAAATTTATGAGTCAATACAGCAAAATAAACACATCAGTGTTTCTTCTACCATTATGGAGCAACAGCCCCGCCCCTCGAGCTGTTGGCTTTGAGTAACTGTGGCCGCCTGAGCAATTTGGTTGAAGCACTGATTCCCTAATTTACTGTCATGGGAAAAATAAGTTTCAGCTTTTTCCCAGGTTTTTTTGTATTATGATATAATAAAAATATGCATCTCTATTGTATTGGGTTCTAAAATTATTAAGTGTACAAACACACAATTGATGTTAATATATTAAACTAATGAGTCAAAATGGGGAAAAACAACAACTTGGAAGTAGTTGGATGACAGTCTTTATGGTTGTGGAGAATTTTTAAATTCAATTCAATTCAGTTTATTTACATAGCGCCAAGTCACAACATACGTTGTTTCAGGGCACTGTACATAAAAAGAACAATCCAAAGAAGAAGAAACCAGCAGGCTGTGTTGAATCACTTCATCACAGTCTCCCATCCTGAGCAAACGGTGGAGAGGAAAAACTCCCTGCTAATCAGGAAGAAACCTCCAGCAGAACCAGGCTCAGGACAGGTGGCCATCTGCCTCGACCGACTGGGTTGGAGGACAGTAAAGAGACAAAGGCAAACACAGAAGAACTGGTCCAGGTGCACCTTCTTCTGGAAGAGACAACAAGAAAAAACATGATAGAAATAATTACAATAAACATGTAGAGAAGAGAGACTAAAGACAACAGCAGAGTGAAAAAATGTGCTCAGTTTGTGCTCCAGCAGTCTAAGTCTACAGCAGCAGAGATGAAGAATAATTCAGGAAACTTAAGTCTAACTATAAGATTTATCAAGAAAGAAAGTCTTCAGTCTATTCTTAAAAGTAGACAGGCTGTCAGCCTGACGGACAGAAACTGGAAGTTGGTTCCACAAGAGAGGAGTTTGATAACTGAAAGCTCTGCCTCCCATTCTRCTTTTAGAAACTCCAGGAACCACAAGTAAACCTGCAGTCTGAGAGCGAAGTGCTCTGTTAGGAAAGTATGGAACAATAAGATGTTTTAATATATGATGGAGCTTGGTTGTTAAGAGCTTTGTATGTTAGGAGTAATATTTTAAATTCTATTCTAAATTTGACAGGGAGCCAGTGGAGAGAAGCTAAAACTGGAGAAATATGATCTCTCCTTCCAACTCTCATTAAAACTCTAGCAGCAGCATTTTGGATTAACTGAAGACTTCTTAAAGAGTTATTTTGTATGCCCAAATAATAAAGAATTACAGTAATCCAGTCTAGACGTGATAAATGCATGAATCAGTTTTTCTGCATCATTTTTGGACAAAATGTTTCTTATTTTAGTTATTTTACGCAGGTGGAAGAAGGCGGTCCTGGTAACATTTTTAATGTGGGGGTTAAAAGACATATCCTGATCAAAATTAATACCAGGGTTCTTTACATTAAAACTGGAGGCCARATTAATGCCATCCAGAGGAGGTGAAAGGCTGCAAAGTTGATCCCTAACATGTTCAGGTCCAAAAACCATAACCTCTGTTTTTATGAGTTTAGAAGCAGAAAATTAAGAGTCTTCCATGTTTTTATGTTAATACTTGCTTGTAGTTTAAGTAACTGGTTGGATTCATCAGGTTTCATGGATAAATATAACTGAGTATCATCAGCGTAACAATGGAAATTTATCCCATGCTGTTTAATAACTTTACCTAAAGGAAGCATTTATAAAGAGGATTGGTCCAAGCACTGAACCCTGAGGAACTCCATGACTAATTCTGGTGTAAGAAGAGGATTCATTATTAACATTAACAAACTGAAATCTATCAGTTAAATAAGACTCAAACAATTTTAGAGCTGTTCCTGTAATCCCAATATCAAGTTCAAGTCTACGTAATAAAATATTGTGATCAATTGTATCAAATGCAGCACTGAGATCTAACAGGACAAGAATGGACACAAGTCCACTGTCTGAGGCCATGAGAAATATCATTAGTAACTTTCACCAGTGCTGTTTCTGTGCTATTTTTGTCCCACTTAAAGTTTCCTTGAAGCCAATGAATTGTTTTGGTTCTTTTTTTGTCACTCCGTCTGTCGTAACTTTACTGGTGTGTTGGGGATCGTAGCTGCTGGAGAGATGGCCTCACTTTTGACCTTTTGGTCTTGACTGATTCAACTGGCCCACATCTTCAACCCTCCACCACCGTGCCTGACAGTTATGAGCTGATTTTCTCGTCGTATCACCGTGAACGACTCTAGTTATAAATTAACTTTGCTCGTTTATAGTTTGACCCCATGTTTTCACTCCTGGACAGAACTTCAAACCTCCAGTTTTTCTTCAATTTTCGACAACTTACTTCCTCTTCAGCCTGTGTGAGCTTCACCCTCGCAGTACTTGGAACACAGATAAGCCTTTTTTTTTTCAGCCCCGCAGGGAAAATCCCAACAAGTATGAACTGTTCAGAGGGGGAGGAGCAAAGAAAGAAAACCAGGCTGATCAGGTCTCTGCCTTTTAGTTTTTAACCTGCTGGCTCTTGGTGTTGGTGCGGTGTGTAACAGGTACGTTTTAACACACAAACAAACGGATTCTTTTTAGAAGCGACCAGAAAATGTAGCTTTAGTCTTATAAACACTTTAGAGAAGTAAAATACCTTTTTGACCAGAAAGTGTTATATTTGAATGTGTGAGTACCAGTAGTTTGACTTCAGGATCATATATTTGCATATGAACTGATCTCCAGCACCATATTTGTTTATCAGATAAATGTATTTGAAACAGTTTTTTATTATTTAACATTGAATTAGTAATGTTGAGATATGACTTTATGGTTTACATTTGATGACAAATCTAATGTGTACTTACTGTATTGGTTTTGTTTGTATATCTACAAGGGCATAACTTTGGGTTCCTTTTGGGGGGGGGGGGGGGCTATGCTCTCTGCCTATTCATTTATTAAATCATTTACTTTGGTAAAAGATTCAGGATATTTTAGGGTTAAAATAAGTTTTAATGGTTTTACTGTGATTTACTTAACTTTCCTGTTTTCTTTGTATTTACTGTGCACCTTTTCTGTGCCACGTCAGTTCCACAATTTCCCCATTTTTTCCCCCAATAGTAACAAAAACTGAACATTTTTAGGATACGACATACCTAAATTTCTCAATTTTCCAAGAATATGTATTTGTGATGGACTACAATTTGGCTAAGAAAAATTACAACACGGTTCAACAAATACAGCCATAATGTGACGAGAGCAGTCTAAAACCCTGCCTGTTATTTTCAGCTGTTAATGCTTAAACGTTCATATGTGACATCGTAAATTCTGAAATGAGGTCAAAGTTACCTAAAGACAACAATATAGCGGCAGCCTTGTAACCTGTTCATTTCTGTTGTGTAAGAGCAAATGGTGGGGGTGTGGGGGTGTAAATTGACTGGATCAAATTAGGGGTCATAACCCCTCTAATCTCCCCAGACGTTACGCCCATGCTTTTCTGTGCCAAATGTTTGCATTAAATGCTCTTATTTTGAAATGCAGGCAGCCGACTCACCTGTATGTCAGGAGGAAGTTGCTCCAGGTGTGGATGTGTTGTGAGTAAAGATTCCTCTTGTAATTTTTTTTGTGGTGACAGGTAAGCAGGTTGTACGTGTTGTACCACCACAGACCAGTTAATTCAAGTCTTTTTTGACAGCTTGATGTTTCCCTCCAGGTGTGAAGCTCGATAAATGTCTCCCTTGGTGAGCATGTTGGACCAAAGAGGCCAGGCTGTGTCCTCAGACTTCAAGTTCTGCCCAACAAAAGGAGGTTTGTGGATTTTTTTCCTGTCTCTTAGAGTATTTCTAAGGTTCACAATTAAACCTCTGATCAATGAATTCCATGCCAAAGTTTTCAAACCACTTTTAGTCTTTTTTTGTACCATAACTAAACTTATTTATCAGTTGTCCTCTGTATTCACACTTTTATTTTTATATTATTTTATTTATATGTATGCTCTTTTTCAATCCAATTGCTTCTGTTCATGTATCAAAAAAATCCTCTCATTCAGGAGATTTGTACTAAGACTTTAACGTAAACCTTCCTTTTACAGTCCCCATGCAATTACCTTGTACTTACATGATGAATAAAACATTTTATTATGCAATTACTTGGCAATTACTGCAATTTAATATGTGATTACTTGGTAAGAACATATAAAATACTATGTAATTAATYAAATTTTAGTGGGTAATTTTGTTACAATTACAGTTCAATAGTATCTCAATTACCCTCTATTTGCCAACAGATTACRACTTTATTTTTACACACTTTACATAGTTTCATTACTGTAGAACTTACCTGGTAATAYATTACAATTTACTGTGYAACACATAAGTAAATAGGTAATTTTGGTGTTGTTAAAATGACTCCATTGCAATAACCACAAACTATCTGTAATTACATAGTAAGACACTATAAAATATGTGGAAATTTTGTAGTATTCTTTAAGTTAATAGTATGTAATTGAGGTATTATTGAACAGTAATTCAATTGTAGCTACCCAAAAAGATTATTTTTACTAACATAGTAATTTACCTTAATTTATTAAGTACTTATTTGGTAATGGCATGTTAATTAGGGCCTATATTTAAGTATAGTATGTGGAAATTTAATTGGTGATTTGTTGGTAAATGCTGTGTAATTGATGTACTATTACAACATAAATTTATTGAAATGATCACTAAATTAGTTTATTTACATAGCAATTTTCTATGTATTCACTTTATAATAACATGGTAATTAGGTGACTAAAATAAAGTTGTAATTTGTTGGCAAATAGTGGGTACTTGAGATACTATTGAACTGTAATTGCAATTAGCCTGCCCACTAAAATTTGTTTAATTACATAGTATTTTTACTAGTTTTACTAGTACTAGTAGTATGTTTATGTGTATGGTTATATGTTGTGTTCTTTTATTCTTTTGCAAAATTCTGCTTCTAAGTTACCATTTTAGCAATTCCAAGAAATTTCTTAAAATGATTCATCACTAGACGTTCACTCATTTCTGCACAATGATTCATCACTAGACGTTCACTCATTTCTGCACAATGATTCATCACTAGACGTTCACTCATTTCTGCACAAATGCAGTTTCTGTATTTTGACGTTTTCATTGTAAAAAGTAAAGATAATAACAAGACTGTGGGTTAAAATAATGGATGGATAAAGTGCTGGTTGRAAATGTTGAATTACTTAAAACATTAAGCTCGGCATTACGAGTAGAGTATTATTTAGGAAACCTATTATAGTTCTATTGTTTTTATGCCGTTTATTATTTTTCTATTCAGATTGCATGATTGATGAGGCCAAACTCTCAGTTTCTATCCATTCAATGCAGAAGAAGAACACAGTAAAAGAACTGCTGATGTTGAGACGCCAGGTTAGTCGGTGTGAACACAAAACTTCTCAAGGAAGCGTTTACATTTTGCRTCTTCTTTAATTCATCCTTTTGACAAATTTAATTCTCTTTCAGCAATGGAAGCCTGATCACAGATTTAAGGTGGCAAGGTACGACGTTGCCACTGATGTGAGTCCTCCAGTGCCAAGCCCACCTGCGCTCATGAACCCAAACGTTGCGGCTAACTTCACCCCTGCTGTTCCTGAAAACAACTWCACGACCCCGCCGCGCATTCATCATCCCTTCCAGCGTCCCGCTCTGCAGGGTCAAGATGCTCCACCACCCGAGTTCAAGATGACTCTGTTTCACTGGCAAATCCAGCAAGAGTCCAAGAAGGCCGAGAGACTGAGTGCAGAGCATCTGAACATGCAGGACTCGGACGGTGACACGTACGTAATAAACAAATTAAGAATTAAAAAAGAGAGGGAAACAAACAGCTAGATGAGATTGAATTTAGTGCAAAGCAACTATGTAGTGAACTGAAAGTAAACTATAAAGCTAGAAACGAGACTGAATTGGAAATTTAACAAAAAAGATCAAAAAAGTGAGCACTTGAGTTAAAAACAAACCATAGTTTCTAGAAAGGTCYGCAGTCTGAAAAGATGACCTAATATTGACAATAAAATATAAAATAACACTTGTAAAGGTTGTTTGTCAAAAAAATGTAAAACAAAAAAAGTAAAATAAAATTAAGTAATACACACACAAAGGAAATGGTGAAATATATATTTTAAAAGTGCTTTAGCAGCTAGARGGCTAAAGCCTCATAATGAAAAATCCAGAATCTTTTGGAATCTGGAACAGACTTTAATCCAAGTGTAATCAATTAGAAGGATGTATTTTTTATTATCAATTTAAGATTAAAACATTAACATTGACATTAAAACGTCTTTCAGAATTTAAACAAGTGAACATCAACCCTGCAGGGCTCTGAAAACCTGACTATTTGTTTTTTTGTGCAAATAATATTGTACCTGAGGGTTAACAAATTATGTGGAACAAATAAAATACTGCGTGATGTCAAACAACACAAGTTTATTTTCAAATTAACACCAACCAATATCAGTATAGAGTGAATACCTCTGTTTCGTTTTGAAAGACATTTTTTAAAGTAGCTGCTGAACGGTAGCTCTGAGCCAAGTTGCGTGCCTTTAATAAACTTGAYTCGTGTGGCCTCCCCCATGTTGTTTTAGTTCAGTTTTAGGCTTGGCCTCACAGTGTGGGTAGAACAAATGAAAACTGTTCTGAAGATTTGTTATTTAAAGCATGACATTTATATTTGATGGGTAAATCAGGAATCTTGCACAAGACAAGACTGACTTTGCTTATTTTGGTTGTGGTCCAGTAAAAGCATTGCTTTGTTTTTCCCAAAGTGACACTTGCTTTATATCATGGATCCAAAAACTTAATTTGCTGGTGAAGAACTCACAAAAAATACTCTTTATTAAGTGTTTTATTAGTAAGTACTCATCAAGATTCCCGTTTTTTAGGTTTATTAGGCAAATAGATGATTAACAAAATAAAATGTCCGAGACGTCTTCTCTGAAGAACACCACAAGTGATTTCAATGCAGCTTAGACCATCCCTTTAAATTAAATGTGACATCCATCTGTTACCAGCTTTTTCCTTTCAGGGTCCCTGGTGCCCACAGCAGTCACACTGAGAGGGACACCCTGAGCAAATCCTTCACAGGGACACATAGGGTGCTTTTCCATTGACGTTCCAGTCCGGTTCCAGTGGGTGTGTTTTGGGCGGTTGTTGGAAGTGGTTTTTAAATGAGAGAATGAAACACATTTGCCAAATAAGTTCTGAAATTTTAAAAATTCGCAAAAAATTCTAATTAAAGTTGGATGGAAACACGACTAATGTCACTGCTACAATTGAAAAAAATGGTACTTCGAGTTGTTGTTGTAAAGGCAGCTTAGATGCAACCAGTGACTCCATTAGTGATGAACAGTGTTCTGATATCGCATTTTGGTGTCGACTGGGACCACTTGGAACCACAACTAAGTAGGTACTTAAAAAAGGGCTGGTTCCAAGAATCTGGCCTAATGGAAATGGTTTGGAACCGTGCCGACACCACACTAAGTAGCAGTAGTGGAAAAGGGGCAATAGAGACAACCAACCATTCATTGTCTCACTCTAGGGACAATTTACCAATTAACCTAACTGTGGGAGGGAATCGGAGTACCCAGAGAAAACCCACACATGCACAGAGAGAATATGCAAACTCTACACAGAAAGGTCCCTGGCCAGGATTTGATCCGGCAAACTTCTAGTTGAGAGGCAACAGTTCTACTAACTGAGCCACTGTGCTGCCCCCAAATGTGACGTATTTAGTTCATTTAAAAATTAAACTTTAAAGAAGCTAACTAAAGCAAAATAAAGTTTGGCAATATAACACCCAGATTTTTTTGGCTCCTTAACAATAATCAAAAAGCCCACAACAGCGTTTTAGGAATTATATTGTTATGACCCACAGGCTTGATGCAGATGCACATTTTGCAAATATTAAGTGTGATATTTTTATTTTTAGAAAATATATTAAGTACAATACAATTTTTAAATAATTTATTTATATTTCAATTCTGTGATAAAAATGAGCACAAATATTTTTTCAAATTTACAATTTTGTCAACAACGTTTGAMCACCACTGTCGTTTGTTCAGATTTCTTCACATAGCTGTGGCTCAAGGTAGACGGGCTCTCACATATGTGCTCGCTGCTAAAATGGCAAGATGTGGCTCTCTGGACACAAAGGAACACAACGGGCAGGTATGAAAACATGACACGGTCGTTACATGCATGTCAGTCAGTCTTAAATAGGTGACACATAGCATTTTGTCTGCAGACGGCTCTGCACATCGCGGCTGCCACCAATCAGCACCTCATCGTCTGTGACCTTCTGACTCACGGAGCTCAGGTCAACATCCGGGACCTGTGGGGTCGCTCTCCTCTGCACGTGTGTGTGGAGAAAGGCCACTTCCACAGCCTGCAGGTAAAACCTCACTCTCAGGTCAGGTCATCTACATGTGATGTATTGAATGCTAGTTTCAAATTTAATATACCATTTTATGCCAAGAATGAGTGGTGGGCAGCACTAATCTAAAAATTAGTTCCACTAGCCATAAAACACTAACTCAAATATTTAGGTCCGAACTTTTGTAACTCCGCAAAGGCTGCATGGGCCACACACTGTTCAAATAGTTTTTTCTGTCAAGCTTTTGCTCTCCTACTTACATTTTCTCAAGTTATAAATTGCACTTCCATGTGTCCTTTTGGAGAAATCTACAGCAGTGAAAGCACCAATTATAAACAACTCCACTACCAGCGAGGGTGTGTGCGCATTGCGCGTGCTTCCTAAGCGAGACTATAACTCAGCCTTTAGGAATTTGTTAGCTTGACAACCTCAGGTGTCCGAGACAGCTTCCCTGAGGAACACCACATTCTACTTCCTTATAGCTTAAGCTTTATGTAAACACATTTATTGGACTTTTACTACACAACTGAAATATTATTTCTACTCTTGCCTCCGTCGTGGCAAAAAGATAACACAGTTCAGATCTGTAGTTGTCAGAGTGCTCTTTAGAACAGAGCTTATCAGTGAGACACAGCACCACCATCATACCTGGAAGGCATTATCACTTAGAGGGTAGCATGACTTACAGTCTATTTAAAAAAATACGCAAAGTTATGCTTGTCTTTTCACTACTTCAAGCAAAATTTGTGATTTTTATCCTTTTTTAATCAATCTTGTGTCCTCTCTATGATTGAAATCCTCAAATTAGCCACTAACAGGTTGAAATTTTACAGTTAGCCTATCTGCAATTTAGAAAAATATCATTAAATGTAGCTAGGATGTTTTTTATTATCAAAAGTTTTTTTTAGTACAAACAACAGTTCTAAATTAAGTACAAAAAACTTAATGATACAACAGCTTGACTTCATTCACAGACATTAGAATATTTTGTTGCACTAGTAAAATAAAAATAAATAGATTAACTTCACACTAAATGTAACCAGCCAGCAGAAAGATAAAAACAAACTGAAAAGAAAGGCTTTATAGTAAACACAGTAGCACGTCCGCTTGGTTGTGCTTGATCACTGTCGTGAGAACAACAAAGTCATGGTTGAATGACCTTTCCATCTGAATCCGTGAATCAGGAAATAAGCGCACAGTAAAACAGTCCCTGTGTGTTTTGGCTGCCGTTTCATGCAAATAAACCTGTTTGTCGATGGTGCCACCTGAAAGCTGCGACACATTAGCACAAAATGTTAAATATGATGTGCGTTAAAGATTACGAAAACAAAGTTTTTGGCAGAAAACAAAGATTTTGTGTAAAAATGAATACATTTCTAATAATCAGATATGAGCGTAAAGCAGCTTGTTTTAGTTGCATTTGCCTCAAAATAGTGTCTAAATTATATGTAAAAAAGAATATTACTATTTAAGCGCTTGTAGTATCTTTGTTATTTTTTGTTGACAGCTTTAGAGATACAAAGGTGCAAATTTAAAATATTAACCTTTAAGATAGCGAAATAAATTATTTTAGTGAGTCTGTCAGAACATTTATCCATGAAAGACAAATATTATGCATTTGTGAAGATTTTCTTTTTATTCAAAACACAATTTCCATGCAAGTGTCTCAAACCAAAAATATTTTTTTACTTTAAGGGACTAAACTTGAAATTAAATCTCAAAACTTTTCACCACTTTAACTTTAGTAAACATCATCAGTCATCTGCTGTGGTGTGTCTGGTTCATGCCTTCTTACATTTGTTTTAACTCTTTATTTGTTTAGATCACTCGGCATGACGCTGAGAACTATGAGGAAGCTCGGCTCCTGAGTTTGACAAACAACTTTTGCTGCAGGCGTATCTGACTTGTTAATTTATAACCTTTTTTTTTATTACTAAACACAAAGTCTTTTATTGCTAATTAAATGTTTCTGTGCTACAGACCTTTGATTCCTTCGTGTGAAAGCAAATCTGGACTTAAATCAAGATAAAGGTGACATTTTTTAAATTTTTATTATTTGCACTTGTTCCCTCAGAGCATCTACAGAACTTTAACAGGAAGTGGCCAGTCAGCTGATGTGGAAATGTTCAATTATGATGGTGAGTTTTATTTTAATTTCTTTTCATAAATCTTTTGAGTTTTGGTGATTTAAACCTGGCTTCTTTTTCTTTAATGGTTTTCTTTAATGGTTTTTGAAGGTTTGACTCCGCTTCATGTGGCTGTCATGTCCCACAATGCTGTTGTTAAAGAGATGAGGAGTCTCTCAAACCCCTGTATGTACATGACGTCAGAGCTGGCACAAAAGAGGCGCGTGTACGTGGAATGTATCAAGACCCTGATGCACATGGGCGCCTCCCACGGGACAAAGGTGATTGTTACAATCAATGACACGTGTTCGCTGAAGGTGTTATTTTGTGACTTTTCTTGGTCAGAGGGAGTGGACAATTAGTTTTTGGCGAGGACAAGCTGGTGAAGCTGACTGTGTTAACCACAGCCTGTTCAATCTAGGTCAGCACATTAATGAAACCTGGTTTGCAGAGGTTTATGGTAACTAAGTACATTTACTTTGTTACAGTACATACGTAATTTTTTTTTGAGGATTTGTAGTTTTTACCAATACTTTTTTTAAATCGTGACTTTCTATTTTACTTAGTTACTTTTAAAACCTAAAAATGATACTTTTAATTCTTTGCTTTAAAAGTTTAACACCTAGTTACTTGCTATAAATTAAATCTGTCTGAACTCATCATGAAAGGAGTTGTTTATGTGCTCTAAAAAATTAAGTGTTGAATTTACTCGACTAAATCATATCAACTATTTCCACTAATCCTAGTAGGGTAAATTTGAGGTGATATACATATTTTATTTTAAAGAAATTGACCAATTTAATCAACTTGGGTTTTGTGAAGCCAGTTTTGTTCTGTAAATTTAAGTTTTTTGTTAGAGAGCGTGAAAAAGTACTTTTACTTCTACTTCTACTTTCCCAATTTTTGTGAACAGTTTTATGACTTTTACAGTTTGCTCATAGTGACATTTTTTTACCAAAGTCATTTTCTGCTAAGGTATTTTTACTTTTACTTAGTTATTTTTGTCAAGTACTTCATAGACCTCTGTCATTTTGATATGGACAACTTGACAACAACAATTTCCCTTTGATAGAAATGCTTGTCGGTACATAATAGGTGGAGGTTCAGAGGTTTAAGGAGTAGGAGCCCATTTTGAAAAAGTATAGGGCTGACCATCTACAGCAGGGCTATTCAACTAAATTACTCCAGGGGCCACAGTTACTGCTGGCCAACAACTCAGAAGCTGAACATCCAGCAATTAAAGTTTAATAAATAAACCAAGTATTACAAAGATCTCTTACCTTTGATTTTGTTTATTTTGCTGCATTTAATCATGATTACAACAAACAGAACTCTATGTAATAACAGTAGTGATAATAAAATAATATCAAAAACAAAAAGAACACATTGTCTCCTATTTAACACAAATAATATTTTGACACCTCTGACTTGCCAAATTTTTAAACCAATTTTATTTTTACTTTCATAGTTTAATATTCAACTGTTTGTAATTTTAACTGTCTTGGATATTTACAGAATTTATTTTACCAGCTTGTTGCCAAGAATCTGGCATTTCTGTAGATACCAAACATCTCTATGTTTAACCAAAATAACTTATAGTAATTAAAGAAGAAAACCGAGGGTTTGGGCTTAAGAGATGTATGAACCAATGGGCGGGCCGAACTTTGGTCACTCACGGATCGGATGCGGCCCGCCGGCCGTCAGTTGAATGGCTCTGAGCTACAGGGTGAAGCCCAGAATTGAGTGTCGAAGGCAGGAGGCGGTTGACCAAAGGGGGTTTGGTGGTTCTCTGCCAGAAACAACTGACATCTAGAATATTTAGAACTGCTACTTTTAGTTGTTAGTAATGATTTTTTTTTTTTTACTTTTAGGTTCTTTTAATTCTAC